CCCCAAAACCCCAAAACCCCAAAACCCCAAAACCCCTAAAGATATTCTGCTAATTGAAATTTTTATTAAAAGTTAAGATTAATCTTTCATTTTGGTAAGACTTCTTGAGTTTAAGAAGTTGTTTACTGGTGGTCTGGAGGGACTTCTGTAAACAACTAGTAAGTGACTCGTGAGCATTTATAAGGTAATCTACTAGTTGTTCAGAAGATCTGTAGATTAAGAGCTTAGTGCTCTTCTCTTTAGGATCCTGTAAATGGGATATTGTGCGAGGGCGTGCTAAAGTAATCGGAGATAGGAATTTATGAACAAGGATGGTATTCTGATCGTTGTTTAAAAGGCTGATGTTTTTGGCTATGAATATGAGGTATTTTTGGAATTCGGGTTTGAGAGGTTTCGGATCAGTTGAAGTTAGATTTATCGTTCATGTTTCCTCATCAGTTTTTAATTCTCAAGTAAGGTTATCTCACGTTTCTGTCACAGTCTCTCCTGCTTTACTAAGGGTCAATTCAAACACATACTTTTCTTTAGTCAAAGAAGAATCTTTGATCATCTGTACCCATTTGTTGTTCTCAGTTTCTAGAACTGCAGCTTCTTGCTTCAATTTATCTTGGGATTGATAAAGATACTTAGCGTTATAGACATTCTCTTCTTTGATAGTCTTGTCTATCTTCTTCTTTTTACCCTGGAAATACTCTTTTCTTCTTTTCAGGGTTCTCTGATAATCTTCAGATAAGTCCCATAATTTCTTGTGATGCTCCTTAAATATCTCTGGAAGGACTGATAAGGCTTGTTCATGCTTAAAGAGTAAGAAATCTTTATTCTTCTCATCAATAGCTTTAATTTTGCTAATAACTGACTCTGGCAAACTGATATGCTTTTCCATTTGCTCAAGATCATCAGGGATCTTCTTAACAATATCTACATATTTTGCATTTACTTCAGTGAGCTTATGCCCATTATGTGAAACAACTATACAAGTTGAACAAATAAAAACATCTCAGTCATCTCAGAATATTTCTGCATCTTTGCTATGTTCTGAGCAATTAACCTTCTTTGTGGTTTCATACTCTTTCTTCAATGTCTCAATTATTCCATCGAGATACCTTGCTTTAGAGAAAAATCCTACATTGATTTTCATTCTTCACAAAGAGCATGACGAATCTCTCTTCATGTTGTTAAGAACTCAATCAATACACCACGTTTTATTGCATCATGAAAGTATGACTGCTCTTTTGGAATCAATGACTTGTAATCAGATTGGTCATTCTGCGAAACTACTCAGGAAAGTAATTCCTTCTTCTCCAATTTTGTTTCTTAAATCTTCAATTGCAGCTGCTTTCTTTACTTCTAGTTCTTCCTTTGTTTGGTTGATATCATACTCCATTCCTCATACGCTCGAGAGTGGAGTTCCAGAATAACAATAACGGTACCTTACAGTATTTGACCCATATCCACAATAATTTCTACTATGGAACACTTTTCATCTGCTACACAAAACTAAATCTGCCATTTACTTAAACACCTAAAAGCAAAGATATGAATACCCCAGCCTCTAAAATTTAATTTAATTAACCATTAAATCAACTTTTTAAATAAACTTTCATTCCCACTTCAGCCCAGTGTTCACCTCTCTCTAATTTCCAAAATTTCAGAATCCCTAAATTTATTTAAAACTTAACTAATCTGAGGCAGCTGGTAAAAACTCCTAGTGGCAAGTTTAAAGAGCTCCTTCAGAGAGTCAGTCATTCAAGTGAGGCTAATTCTTAAGTGCTGCAGGAGAGCAGGCCAGGCCTTGTAAGTTGTAAGAGGAAGTGGGATAGAAGGAGCTTAAAGAAGAGGAAGGTTTAGAGAGGGGAGTAGGAGTTACCATTTATTGTTTATATCTTTCTTTTGATATTGCTCTCCAAGAGATTTAATTTAAGTTTTAGATCTTTGCATTTAAATTTTATAGTCTTTTAATCAATATTATATTGGTCTTACGGGGTTTTGGGGTTTTGGGGTTTTGGGGTTTTGGGG